TTTACTGAGACTATACTTCAAAGTGTACTAAAAATGCTACTACAAGTATTTAATTAGAAAACTATCAGTATTCATATAAGTTCACTTTTAGTGTAGTTGCAGTACAAGCTAAAAATATTGTTGTAAACTAATTGTGTACTTCAAGTTTACTACTGTTATACTTAAAGTATACTTAAAAGTATACTTTTATATACTAGAAAGTGGGCCAATTTAGTTCCAAGGAGTATTGAAATAGTACACTTACAAGAATACTACTAGTACACTGATATTTGTATACTTACTACATAAAGTATACTTACAAATATACTTGAAATTTACTTAAGTATATTTAATAAAATAAACTATAGTATACTACTTTTTGGTAAGGGAAGTCAACTATTCACGACTAATCAGCTCAATAAATTGGGTTTATGCTACAAATTAAGTTATCTAACTCAGTGTAGTTTGTTGAACATAGAAGTTGTCATAAGATAAAATGTTAATGCAAACTTTTTATTGAGCCAAAACATATGTTTTAAGAATGCATTCTGCGGACTGGACAGAAAAATCAATAGCAAAACAATAAGAAGGAAAGAAAATAAATAAATACAAGCTATGTTCTGTACTGACTGTAGGTTTTTGATGCTTGTTATTTCAAGAAAATAATTACTAGTTATATATAAAGAACACATACAACTCTATTTATTTCAATTACGTTTGAGACACTTAAGAAAAACAGTATAATACTACAGTATTCACAAATGGCAATACATAACTGCACAGTGAATGGTACACTCACTGCAAATTCCAATTAGTAAACCTTACTTAAAAAAAAAAGCATGCAAACCGATTGCTCTGTCTTGGTCGAGGGTGAAAGAGGGAGAAATAAGGATGACACTGATATATAGTTTAGGCACGACCTGGAAGTATTTATTCAGCGATCGGCGCTAAAACGTAATCTGTACGGAACATCGTTTTGTACGGAACATGGTTAGTCTACCTCAAACTCAGTTATATAGTTAAATTAAATTAAGTTTAACAATCAATGATGTTTAGGAACAAATGTTACAAGTAATTTTTTTTCTTCTTCTGCCAGCTAGCAGTAAACAGCCAAAACTGTCAGACTGAGAGCCATAATACACAGTCTGAAAGCCTTAATAAACACTGAAAGCTGGGAATAAAGTATTACATGGAATCGAAAGGATTTGGATTTTACCCTCTTCGATTCATGCGTTTATAATCACTCACCTACAAGCATTCTCAAGCGTCATTCCGTCTTGTTCAACTCCAGCTCATCGGTCACTGTTCAAGTAATTTGAATGTGAGAGAAAACACTCCGACAAAAACCTCCAGTTTTAAAAAGAACATGCTCCTCTCTGCAGTCAGTTTCAAAGTTCTCTCTTATGAGATTCGACGTGTCAAGTGCCGAGAACACGAACATGTTCGTTCACATAGACCATAGGTCTTCAACCGTGATCCTGGGGACCCACTGTCCTGCAAAGTTTATTTCCAACCTGCTTCAGCACACCTGGCCTCTGACTTTTCAAGTGATCCTGAAGACCTTGATTAACTGGTTCAGGTGTGTTTGATTAGGGTTGGAGCTGGGACACCAGGAGCAGGGTTGAAGCCTTGATTAACTGGTTCAGGTGTGTTTGATTGGGGTTGGAGCTGGGGCCCCAGGAGCAGGGTTGAAGACCTATGACATAGACTGTAAAAAAGATGGACGACACGTCTCCACTTCCTTCCACTATAGAAAAGTGAAGCCAAAAAATTCTTCTTCTTCTTCTTCTTCTTTTGTGTTTAATGGCGGTTGGCATAAGCTTAAGGTGCATTTCCACCATCTACTGGGATGGAGTGTGAGGCCTCGATGAGCAAATATATTATATACTACTAAAAAAAAAAAAAAAAAATTATTCTAATAAAATCTT